AAAGACTTTAAAGGTTATTGTTATAAAATTATTATAATTTTTATTAGTTATGTATAGGTCTCGTCTTGGTGGCAGTCAGGCAAGGGAAGTTTCTGGGGTCCTTTTGTTGTGTGTTACTGTTCTTTCTCTCCTTCAACAATGGGTGGCCTTACACCTTAGACTAGGGGCCTCAGCCTGCTCAAGGGTGTGGCTTTAAAATCCTATTAGTTTCAGAAGAATAGTCTTTTGAAAGACACAGCAATCATTTGTGTATTTGCTGTACTGAACAACTTGGAGTTGCTGTGACGCTGAAAACACTATTTTATAGTCATGTCAAATATCATAATAGTTGCCCATTATGTACAATGTTTGGATGAGCTTCCAGATTGATTAGAAGCAGAGTAGCATCCACTTTCTAAACTAGGTGCCTCTGGAAACTCTACAGACTCTCTTATAAATGTACAGAAATGATGTTAATTATAGAACAGAGTTCAGGTCTTTTGTGCAAAGCTTTCTCTGTGTCGTATTCGACTCGACAACACCTAACCATTGCTAATGGTTATATCTGTGCTATGACTTGTGCTGTTATATCTGGAGGAACACTCTTCCACTTTGCACATCACTCTTTGCCAATGTGCTGTATAAAGTAACATGGGTTTACTGAGATGTCTGAACCTTGTGGCATGGAAATATCAAATACCAGAATAGTTTCCCATTATGTACAATGTTTTGTGGAGCTCCCGGTTGTAAAACAGGTTGGGAAACAGGAGTGGCATTCACTTCCTAAACCACATGCCTCTGGAAACTCTATGAACTTGGAGAAACAATGATAGCGATGGAAAGGCATTGGGTCTTTTGTTCATAAAATCACTATGAGTTGACCTTGACTCGACAGCAGTCAACAACAACAACAACATAGATTAGTTATGCATAGATAGATAGTTATGTAATTATATACAGTCATCCTCCCTTTTGTAACTTAATGTTTAAAAAAATCCTCCATTTTCCCTTAACACCAATTTCATAAAATGACCAGTCTTTGTAAACTAACCATGCCAATAAGTGAGAAGTGGGTATGTTTCTTGAAGGAAAGATAGATAGATAAATCAAATGTAAAACAAAACAACCTTTTCTGTCTAAGAAGAAAATATCTTTTCAGTGCCAAATTACAAAAAAGCAGAAACAAATATTTTTAATGGAGGACCCCATGCACTTACTGCAGAAGGTCAAGGACTGCAGCCTTCAGTATGGACTGAGGCTCAATGTCAAGAAGACAAAGATTCTCACCACTGGAACAATTGCTAGTATCAGGATGGATGGCAAAGAGATTGAGATTGTTCACAGCTTCAGTTTGCTTGGCTCCACAGTCAACACTCTTGGCACCAGCAGTCAGGAAATAAAAAAGCGTATCGCGATGGGAAAGTCTGCTGTTAGGGACCTCTCTAAAGTACTCAGGAGCAACAGTGTCTCTTTGGAGACGAAGGTGCGCCTGATACAGGCCATAGGCTTTGCAATCACTTGTTATGCATCAGAGAGCTGGACAATGACTAGGGAGGATAGAAGGAGAATTGATGCCTTTGAGCTGTGGTGCTGGTGAAGAGTATTGAATGTACCATGGACTGCCAAGAAAACAAACAGATTCATCCTAGAGAGGGTTAAACCAGGCTACTCCTTGGAGGCAAGGATTCTGGGGCTTTGTCTGACATACTTTGGACATGTTGCAAGGAGAGACAGGTCCTTGGAGAGGGACATCATGCTTGGTAGGGTAGAGGGACAGCACGGGAGGGGAAGACCCTCTGTGAGATGGATTGATTCAGTGACTGGGGTAATCGGGAGGGGTGTGTCAGAGGCAATGCGATTGGCACAGGATAGAGCAGGGTTTAGGGCTGTTGTACATAGTGTCGCTATGAGTCGCAAACGACTCGACAGCACATAACAACAACACATTTTAAAAAAATTTTCTACTAGTTAATCTACAAAATTCGAATACATTGTTTTTAAGAACAAATTCTTTCAATTTCCCTCACCCAGCCCCATCTTTTAAAGTTACCTGTCTCATAGAATTGTGATTTCAGTTAAAGGATAGTTTCTGTGTGAATTGCATTTATAGACAGAATAAATTTAGTGTTCTCCAGGGTCTCTCCTTGTAATAGGGAGTCTCGTGGCCTAGTGAATAAGGAACTGTGCTGCCAAGCGGTTCAGATCTACCAGATGCTCTGGAAGAAAAAAATAGGCCATCTCCTTTGTGCAATTTATAGTGTCTGAAGAACCACTGGAGGTCAGCTAGGAATTGGTTACAGCTTGACAACAATGAGTTTACGTTATTTTATCTCCTTGAGGTGTCCTTGGTTAGTGGCTTTTAGTTTTTTAAGGAAATGAATGCTGCTTACCATAATGCGCGTCCCCATCACATATATGTGGAGATTGGACGTACATAAAAATGCTATGACATTGTCCTTCTAAGCTCAGTTACAAGTTACAGGAACAGCTCAGTGTTACCAAGCCCTTGAGCTCCAGCAATACGTGCCCAGAGGCCCAGCATTCTTCAGGAAGCATCCTACTCAAAGGGCTCAGCTCTCCCCCTACGTGAGTGGATAAGCCTTACTTGGGCATCTCATGTGGCTGACATTTCATACAATCTCCAGTTTTACAGCTCTGTCTTTTGAGTCTAGATGTAACTTAGTATGGGAAACCTGGGTTCAAAGGATATATTCCACTCCTAAATGTTTCCTTGGTGGTAGTGAGGTCCCCTGCCAACTTCTGGAATGATTCTATTTTTTTTTGTTGTGTAAGCTTTTTTTAAAAAAAAAAACTATGCTGATTTATTTATAAAATGTGAATATATTGTTTTTCACACAAGATCCTTCTCATTTCATTCACACCCGCATTGAACTGTGCATCCCTATGATTAGCACCCCACTGCCTATCCTCACCGCTCTGCTCCCCACCCCTTGTATCCTCACACTTACTCTACAATAATGATTTTATAAAGCATTGATCCTTCTGGGACTAAGTTAGTTCACTCAGCATACTGCTCTCCAGTGACCCCTTTTAAATAGAGCAAGATGGCAAAACTGACCAATTCCTTACGAAACTTCAGCGTACCTAAAGAACAAACAGATATGTCTTGGAAAAGGTGCAGCCAGAGTGCTCCTTGGAGACAAAGATGATAAAACTTTGTCTCACATATTTTGGGTATGTTGCTAGGAGAGGTCATTCCTTGGAGAGGGACATCATGCTAAAAACAGGAGGGTGGTGGAAGAAAGGACGACTCTCAGCTGGACTGACACAGTGACTGCAGCAGTGGGCTTGAGTGTGTCAGAGATGATGATGGCACAGGATAGGGCAGGGTTCAGATCTGTTGTTCATAGAGTCTCTATAAGTCATATTGGACCTGATGGCACCTAACAACAACAACATCCCCACAAGCTTTCCAGTCACCTTATTTGCATAAGGAAAGCTGTTCTATCCCCTGGGTGGGCCATAAGCACATACCTAGTCTCATCCAGTGATTTTGTGGTGACTAGAAGGGCCCTGGAACTCTCTGCATTGTGACTTGATGGTAAGTTGCTGCTGTGAGCTGTGCAGAGTCACCCCTTACGCCTGGTGACCCAAGGTCCAATGGAACAAAATACCGCCCAGACTGACATGATCTTTTGCATAGTGAATAGTTGTGATTTGTAGGGTCTTCACTGGCTGATCTCTAGAAGCAACTCACCAGGCCTTTCATTCTGATCCACTTTAGTCTGGATGCTTCACTCAACATCATTGTAGCAACACACAGGCCTCCACTGACAGGTGAGGGGTTGCCTGCTTTGGAGAGAGATTCTTTGTTCCCTGGATGAGGTACTCCAGGTCACCCACAGCTTCTGAATAGAGCATTTCCTTTGCCCCTGGAGCCCCTGCAGTGCAATTTACTATGATTTCCAAAGAACCAGGGCTTCTCACAAATACTTTTTTTCTTTTCCCCTGCAGGAAGGACATTTCCTACCCACCCTTACTTTTCAGTGCAGCTTGGTGCAGGGCAGCTGTCGCTCTTTAATCTCCTGAAAGCCTATTCGTTGCTGGACAAAGAAGTGGGGTACTGCCAGGGAATCAGCTTCGTGGCTGGCGTCCTGCTTCTGCACATGCGTGAGGAGCAAGCCTTTGAAATGCTGAAGTTCCTCATGTATGACCTCGGCTTCCGCAAGCAGTACAGGCCTGACATGATGTCGCTGCAGGTGAGGGACACCTTCATGAGGAAACCCCTACCGGAAGTGTTAGCCCCAGCACCCTCCCCAAAAAGTAAACCACACTGAGAAATTGGTGCCTATTGCTTTGAGACTTGACTCCCTGTAGAGGCATGTTTTAATTGGTTGTTTTACCAGGGATTTGGGATTATGCTAAACCGAGAAATGTCTAGAAAAGGTGAAAGGTCAGCCATAAAGAGGAAGACCCTCCCCCAGATGGATTGACACAGTGGCCATATGGATGGACTCGATCAGAGGCTGTGGGTAACATGCAGGACAGGGCAGGATTCAGCTCTGCTGTCTACAGGGTCTCCTTGAGTTGTGTTTGATTTGATGACACCTAACACAGTGAATAAATTACATTCGTATGCAGAATAACATTTCTATACAGTTTCTTACTTGAATAAACAAGCCAACCAAGGAAGGTGATGGGTGCCTGAGTGTGTGCATTACCTGAACAAAATTTCAACTCATCCTTCCTCCCTTTTCCTCAACCTGCTGGTCTGCAGGGAGTTGCACTGTTAACGCAAAGGCTGCACCTCGCTGGTAGTGTGAATCCACCGGCAGCAACTAGAGAAAGATGGGCCCCCTTCTCCTGTTCACTTCACAGCCTTGGAAACTGAGTGGCTTATCAGCTATTACTCAGAACAGACTTGATGGCAATGAGATATTGGAACCATCTTTACAATTTCAAATAATGGAAAATACCTATGGGTAGTATTTGATTTGGTTCACAGAAAGGTAGATGCAGCTATCAGTTTAAAAATACAATACTTTTTCTATTTACATATTCCTTACCAGTTTAATAAAAAAATTCTTGCAAGTGGAGTTTTGGCTTTGGGGTTTTTTTCCCCCACATTCATATACTATGATCTACAATTAGCAAGAAATATTTTACATGTACAATTAGGTAAATGTTTTGAAATCTTTTGTGTCAGCATTCCAAAAGGCCACAACATTAAGAATCTTGTAGGAAAATGGATGTTTTGGGTTTATAAAGGGAGACGTGTGCTCTTCTACTTTCTAGAGAAGGAAGTTAGTATCTTTTGTCCACATGATAGATATTCAGAAGCACACATGCGATACCTTTTGTGATGGGTGCAGCCACAGATGTGGAGAGAGCAGTTAGGATTCTGAGTTCTTGCCGTGCTGTGTGTGGGTGTGGGCACTGCCAGCTCTCTGCCTGCTTTGCTTCTCTGTGAAATGAGCAGCTTCTTCTGCCTTCAAGTATCTCTGTTGTGTCATACTTGTTTTTATTATCTCTTGCATTTAAGTGCATGCATATCTTTTTTCTGAAATCTTACCAAAACCAAACCCACTGCCATAAAGTCCCTTCTGACTCAGCGTGGTGGACACTCCCTCAGCATCCAATGCTGTAATGCTTCATGGGAACAAAATACCTCCTTTTCCTCCTTACAAACAGCTGGTATATTTGAACCAATCATCTTTCGGTTAGCAGCTTGACATATTTAGTTTGGTTCCGTCCCTTCTCATCTTTCCTCTGAGCCTCCTCCTCTCTTCCTCAAGTTTTTCCTCACCCATATGAACATTTGTCTTTTACCTATTGGATAATACTGAAGAATTATTTTCTCGGCTTGTTGTTATGTGCCATGGACTTGGAACCGACTCATGCCTGACTCTTCTGTAAGCTTTTAAAAGCTGTAAATCACACAGGAGGAGAAAGCTCATCGTTCTCCCTTGGAGAAGCTGGTAGATTCAAATCACCTGCCTTTGGGTTGGCACAGCAAGTCCATACTCCTTGAATTTTATAATCAGTGCCTCCTTTCAAAGCTTGAATTATGTTTTTATTTGCTGGAAAAAAAATAAGGAAGCCATGGTCACAATGTATACCTTGAGGGAAGCAAAATTCCCAAGCCCTGATTTAAGAAATAGAAAGAAAAAGCAAGATCCTGGATTATTATTTCTATTAGTGCCCTGTCCTGAAGTTTTCTGTACCATGCTAACAGCTGACTGTGGGGACAAACCTCTGATGATAGACTTCTTTTATATTATGCTGTTCAGATTTCTGTACTTTCTCTGTGTGCCAAATACCTATTCGTCTTCTCTTGACAGAAACCTATTGTGCCTAATCTTAGGATATAAATGGCCCACAGAAAATGCATGAGACTTTGAACATGAATTACTGAGACAGTAATCTCATTTTTAAAAAACGTAAAGTTTGACTCCAGCTAAGCTGCTTATTTCATAGGCGATGACTTCCTGTGGCTCCTTAATTTCTTCCTTTTATAGTTTGTGTGGAAACTTGGTTCCTGGAGATACATGTTGTAGATAAGGGTCAAATAAATATTTTTCTATGGTTCTGTGTATCCTCTAGTATTTTTACCCTTCAGGGCCAAAGGGGTCTCTTTGATTTTTAGTTTTGTGATAATGAAAATAACAGCTGTTGGAGTCATAGTATATGTTGGTTATTTTAATATATTTCCATAGAGCTAACTATTTGGTAGAAGGTACTGTTTTGATTCTTTCTGTTAATAAAAGAAATACTACTAGATTTAATACAATGGTTTATAATCCCCACTCCATAATTTTAAGCTGATAACAAGAAACCACTATTCATCTTTAACTTGTAAAAATAACAAACTTAGAATACAAGTTTAAATTATTAATGTTAAATATTGATGTTGTTACTGTTGTGTACCATTGATTTGGAACCAACTCATAGCTGACCTCCAGCAGCTTTTCAGAGTCAGTAAATCACACAGGAGGAGATTGTCCATCTTTTCCTTGTGGAACATCTGATGGATTTGAACTATGTATCTTTGGGATTGCAAAGGAGCTTTTTACCATTAGGCCACCAGAGCTCCCTGAGATTATGTGAATGTGCTAAATATTTGAAATTAATTTGAATAAATACACTGAAATAAAAATAGTGTCTTTTATGTACAGTCAGATCCATACATAACATTCTTTTTTTTTCTTCTCCGCATTAACTTTAGATCCAAATGTACCAGCTGTCGAGGCTCCTTCATGACTATCACAGAGAACTCTACAACCATCTGGAGGAGAACGAGATCAGCCCCAGTCTGTACGCTGCCCCCTGGTTCCTCACCTTGTTTGCCTCTCAGTTTCCATTAGGATTTGTAGCCCGAGTTTTTGGTAAGCAGTGATTGTGTTCAAGTCACACTGTTTCCAAGGAGTATACATTATAACTGGGTGGTTCCCTGGTTGTGTTACCATGTCACACTAGGAAGTTGTCTTAGCAGACCAGGGAACTGCTGATGAGTGTAATAAATGTACCTGACTCTATTCAGGTAGGATTTTGAAACCATATTGGTATTAAATTAAATGGGGAAGAGAAGAAAATGAAGACTAGGGCCCTCGTGTGGGAGTAAGCTGTGGTAGACTTTTCATGTATGCCTAGAATCAGTGGATACTTTTTAAAAATTATATTTCAATCTGAACATATTCTATATAGTTTTCTAATTTTAATATACAAGTTTGCTGCTTCTCCATCTCCCCTCCGCCCCCCACCCCAAGCCAGATGTAGAATTCAGAGGAGAATTTTCTTCAACTGGGTTGATAAAACCACCAAAATTCATGTACTTGGTAATGTTGTTGTTGTTATGTGCCGTCGAATTGCCAGCGACCCATAGTGACCCTGTGACAGCAGCTCTTTGCCCTGCCCTGTCCTGGGCCAGTCTCCGACACACCAACCCCCAGCGTCCCAGTTACTGTATCAATCCGTCTCGTCTGGGGTCTTCCTTTCCTGCGTTGTCCCTTCCACCCTTCTAAGCATGATGTCCTTCTCCAAGGATCTGTCCCTTGTTAAACTGACATTTTGTTGTTAGCAAGACAGCTTTGATTCCTGTTTTATTGCTCAAATGCTATTTCTCCTTTCATGCCGGTACGTTGTTCGTAGCAGGTTTCTGAGACCACATAGCCCAGGGACAATCTTCTGAGAACCTGCCATATTCAGTCACAGTGTTAGACACCAAGAACAAGAGGACAGTGTGGCTTGGCGTGATGCCTTTCTGTTATTGTGGCTGCATGGAGTCGATGATGCATAACAACTTTATGAGGAACAGATGGAAACCTTATTCTGTCCCGTGCCATCCTTGTGATTTTCTGCATGCTCAGGTTGCAAACACTGTGTCAGTCCCTCTTGTTAAGGGTCTTCCTTTCTTTTGCTGACAATAACCCTTTCCAAACAAGATATAATTTCCCAAGGACTGACCACTCCTAACCACATGCCTGAAGTGACCCAGTTTCACCATAATTCCCTCAGGGGAGCTCCGTGTCGCACTTGCTCCAGTAGAGATTTGCTCATTCTTTTGGCCGTCCAAGGTGTGTATTCAGTGCTCTTCACCAACACCACAATTCAAAGTCATTTCTTACTATCTAATATTGTGTTGCCTTTTGGGGACCATTAAGTCGATTCCTGAGTTTTTAGTTAAGTTTGTCCAAGTCATTTAGGAATCAAAGAGATCAAATAACAACAACAAACCTCTCCCAGCAGTTTACTAGTGCGGTTTATTCTAATATGCTTGGGACCTCAGTGGCCTCAGAAAGGATGTGCACAGTTTTTATATTCAGCACCTCTATCTGGTAGCCAGGGTCAGAATAGCTAGTATCCACCATGGTGTTGTTAGAAGATGCCTTGAGTAGATTCTGATTCAACAATTTTATGTACTAGAAAAGGAAACGTCCAGTCCTGTGGCCTCCCTGCAGTCATTGTCCCTGCAGTGTTTGCGCTTATTGCTATAGACACTCTATCTGTAATAGATACTGTAAGTTCAAGTCAGTTTACAGATTTTAAATATTGACTAAGTTCTGAGCCTTTACCAGTACTTTAAAAAAAAAATAGAAAATATCAGAGAATAGTAAGGGGAAATCTATTATTTGAAGGAATTATTGATTTGAGGATATGTGTATAATATGTATTCATATTCCAGGTTATGAGGTTAGTGACTTTCTTATTGGACAGTGTGAATTTGGAGCTTTTTAAAAACATGCCGCATTTGTAGAACTACGGCAAATGGGCTTGAGTGTGTCTGAGGTTATGAGCACAGTGCGAGATAGAACAAGGTTCAGATCCATTGTTCATAGGGTCACCATGAGTCATACTGGACTCCAGGGCATCTAACAACAAGAAATGGTAATAAAATCTATAGACAGAGAACAGCAAAAAGAATAAAATACAAATGCAGTTAATTAAATATGCATCTGATTTCTCTTACTTATGGAACATATCTGAATTTCCTAATCAAGTGGCATTTGGCTCCTTGTTTTTGGGTCTTCTACATGAGTGTTTAAATCTGTAATTATTTTCTTTCTTCTCAGAGTACTCAAAGTAATATTCTGAGGCATCTCCTTTTGACTCAGCTTTGGAATCTTGATATCAGAGTTCAAGAAACAAATATTTTCATGACTCTTTCTGGCTATGAGAGGATGAATGATGCAGGCTCACTTTTCTTTAGTTGTTCAATTTCCTTCTCTCCCTTCCCCCTCCCCAGTTTAGTAAAGAGTAGAGATTGTCAGGAAAGAAGAAATGCAAGGAAACAGAGCTACCAACTTAGAAATCACCATTTTGCAATTTGCTCTATATGTGTTGAAGATTAATGTAGATTGAGAGAAACTTTCAAATAAAGATACAGGGTACTTTTGAAAACTATCACATGCTTATATTTGTTAGGAAGCAGAGTGCACTTTTAATTTAGGTTATAGATTTGTTTTGATTTTCTTTTAGAGTTTTTTTCTTTTTAATTTTCTGTTCTCATATAGCTTTAATTACATATTAACTGGTTCGTTTACTTTCTTATTATGGTAATTAGCATTTAAATAGTAGTCATTGGTTATGTTGATTTGTTTTTTAATCCCTGTTGTGAATAAAAATTGCTGTTGGGTAAGCATCTCTGAGAGTAAGTAACCTATTCTTATTTATCAGTTCCAGGACATTTGGCATTAAAAATTATAGATAAAATACATAGGAAAATCTCTAGTTATATAATTTACCTTTAAAAAACAAAACCAAACAAAATCTTGAGTTTAAGAATTCTAAATAGGTAAAAGAAATATCTGAACATAATTTTTTTTCACTCATATTGAAAAGAAAATTTCAGTCTAGTTAGTTTCGATCGAATTTTTTTTTACTTAGTCTCTAGTCCTGTTGTAATTGAGAAAAACAAAGTGCAAAAAAAAGCATATCTTTACAACAAAAAGCATGTATTCACAATGGATATATCATATTAATGATGAAAATTCTCTTTCTTGTCCTTAGATATAATTTTTCTTCAGGGAACTGACGTTATTTTTAAGGTTGCTCTCAGCCTGCTGAATAGTCAAGAGGCACTCATAATGGAATGTGAAAGCTTTGAAAATATTGTCGAGTTTCTGAAAAACACTCTCCCTGACATGAATACATCTGAAATGGAAAAAATTATTACCCAGGTACGACTGGATAATCAGAGTAAGCTACAAGATGGCCTAGCACTTTCTCTCCTGATTATATATGAAACTTTTTGGCATAAAATGTGGTTTTGCTTGATAAGTGTTGCTATATCTGCTTTTTTAAAATTCAGTTACTTCTTCATTGTGACCTTGGCCACACACAGGAAAAGTGGTTTAGTGCTATGTCATGAGTTGTTAGGACACTTTTCAATTCAAACTAACAGTAAGACTGGGATGAACAGGCAGAGTTAGGAAGTGAGAAATAATGAGACCCACTTGCCGCTGTAAATATTATTGATTTTCTTTTTAAATCTACAAGGAGTCCATGTATGGGCTTTGGAATTAGAAAGCCTAGAAACTTATTTGAGTATGTGTCATCTGTTAGTTCTTTTATTTACTGTTTACCTTAATTTCCTGAACTCTAGTTCGTTGGTTGCAGAATGGAACAATATCTGAGAACTTTTGAGAGTCCTGAAGATATTTGATACATAAGTCAAATTAGGAAGGAGTCTGCTTCTGATTATTCAAATGAAGGCTTTAAAAGAGACAAACAAAAACAACTCAGAGGTGTAGGTAGGATTAAGAGAATTAAGAATTACTGTCCTGGTGTTCAGAAACTAGACACAGAAAGAAGTTGTTCATGTCCCTGACACTGAGAAGGGAAAAGAGGGTATGATAGTGTTAACCACATACGCTGAGATCCAGAGATACGGAGGGGGGACTGTGAAGGTGGGTGGGATTGATCAGAAAAGGAGTACAGAATGAACCCACAGTCCTCTTTCTCCTGCTTCCTGATCCCCTGCTGGCCCTTCCCATTGGCTATTCCCTACTGGTCTTCTGGCACTTCCCATTAGCCATCCTGCTGATCTCTGCTGGCCCTTCCCATTGGACAGCTGGAGGGGCAGTGTGAGGAATGCTGTTCAAAGGGCTCGGCCTCCCAGGACAGAGCAGCGTGGAAGAAGGCCGAGACTTACTCTAGGAAGCAAATGGAAAGTACACCATTTGTCCATCTAATCCCTGGTCTTTCCTGCTGACAAGGTAAACGGTGGTTATATTTGGATGTTGTTCAGATGAAAGGAACAAGTGTAAGGTGAGGTTTAAAGATGAGGCAGCCATGCTTTAAGAGCAAGACAAATGTTGACCAGAGTTCTGGAGGCCCTTACAGAAAAGAAAAAAATAAAAAGACCTCATTGTTGACAGTCCAAACCGACTCATAGTGGACCCTCCAGCAGGTTTACAGAGGCTGTAAATAATTTTGGAGAAGATTGCCCATCTTTATCCCTTAGAGCTGCTGGGGATTCAGACCACCAGAGAGGCCTGGCGTTTGGGTTAGCGGCACAGTTTACTACAGACTGGACTACCATAGCTTCTTTGGACCCCATTAAGGTAAAAAAATAAAGACTGAATTTAGAGCAGGAGAAAAAGAATTTGACATTTTCTTCTAGATCCTACCATTGACTAGCTGTGTAACTTTGAGCTCGTCACAAACTTTTGAGTCACAGTTTCCTCCTAAATGAGATAAAATAGTAGTAATGATAGTAAGTGGTCCTATTACACATTCATATTATTTTAAGGAGCAAATGTAAGCAATTAAGTTAGAGAATTTTTATGTATTTAATGCATGTAAAGATAAACTATCATTTTATGACCATACAATTTTCTTACCATTGCATAGCATAACAATCAGAGGTAAATTACCTAGATTATAGGTCATAATCAGATTATGCCATAAATGTTTTTGTATGTAAAAGTGATTATACTGTTAAAAAGTTTTTGTATGTTAAAATGCTCTGTAAATCTAAAAGCTTATTATTTTCCTATTTGCTTATGTGTGAATTCTTCAAGAGTAACATTTTAGCTGTTGGTGAAAGATTGTGCTTTTCCAAGAGAGATGATATTTGAAATCAAATCACTCCTCTTCTTGAATGAGTGAGGGAATTGCCTAGTTTAGAGATCATTACTAGGATTAATAGAAGAAATTTGTAGGCAGGCAAATGTGGACTTGATGTTAGAGAGAATTTTCTAGCAATTAGAGTTGATTAGCTTTAGAATGAACTCCTGTTACTGAAGGAGCGTTTGATGAGCTTTATTTGTTATCATAAAAAATGCAAATAATGTAGAAAGAGCACAAGATAAAAAAATAAAAACAGACATAAATATGAACATGTTGAGTGAGATGTTAATCTTCTTAAATCTTTCATGTTCATCTTTCTGCATATATACATACATGAATATATATGCAGTTTTACATATGCAATTAGAATGGTGCTGTGCATGTTGTTGTATAACAGTGTTTTATTACAAACATGTATAGTATTAAATATGTTTCCATACCAATATTTTTATTTCTTTTATAATTTACTCACTTTCTTCTAATATTTCCTGTCTAATCTTTGAAGCTACTGTTGTCATTTTGTCCCTATACAGATAGAGATCTTAATGAAGTACTATGCTTAAGGAAGACATTTTTTTAAAAAAAAATTAATTTTAATGAATATTTACAGATTTTTTATTTCCGTTTATTCATTGTTGTACTTTTCTCCCTGCCCACCCCTCTCCCTCCCCAAGTTCACTCTTCTCTTTGAAAACTAATAGAAAAATTCCTTCATTGGTATACAATTCCCGCACCCGACCCCACCTCCCACCCCCACCCCGCCAACCTGAGTGCACTCCACTAGGCCACCTTCACTGTGGACTCTTGTGATAACCATGATACCCTAACATAGACCGCTTTTAACCTGTTCTCTCCCTCATCTGTTTCAAAGCAATATACATAATTTATCCAGTTTTCCTCAGTCTTATCCCAACCCTGATTCTTTTATATTTTTATTTTTTGTTTATTTGCATATAATAATTCATATACATCATGTTTTGTACATTTACTTTGTGTTTTAGACAATTATTGCTATACATTGTGCTTCATTTATATACATGGCGCTTTATACAGTCATCATATATTTTTTATTTAATTAATTAGTATTCATCTCTGTTATTAACACGTTGCCACACACTTTTAAATTTACTACCATGCTTAGAAACACTTTTTTTTTCGCTTTGGCCGTCATTTGTGGCAACCCAGTAGTTTCAAGCCCCTATTGCACCTTTCCCATTCCTTCACCTCTCTCCTTCACCCACCAACCTCTGCTATCCCAGTGATTTTTCCTCCTTCCCCCTTTCAGCTCTCCCTTCTCTTTTCCCCATTGAACATTTATACATATCTTGCTCAGTTATTCTCCTATTTTAGCGAATGGTTTTATGCAGTATTTGTCCTTATATGGCTGAATTATTTCACTCAGCATAATGCTCTCTAGACTCTCCTAAGTAATATAGTACTTTATGAAATAATTACTCCTTAGTGCTGCATAGTATTCCATTGTGTGTGTGTACCAGTTTCTCAATCCATTCATTTGTTGAAGGGCATTTGGGCTGTTCCCATTTCTTTCTTTTTTTTTTTTTTAGCTATTGTGAATAACACTGCTCTGAACATAAGTGTACATATTGCCAATTGTGTCCAATTTCTGATTTCTTTGGGATATGTTCCTACCAGTGGAATAGCTGGATCATAGGGAATTTCTATGTTCAGCTTTTTGAGGAAATGCCAAACTGAAGGAGAGCATTCTTCATTAGTTCAGCTAAGCTATTTACTTTAAAAGTATTTCCAGATAATTTTTTTGTTTTAAGGTTTAAAGCTTATTTCAGGACTATTGTTTAAAGAGTTCTTCCACCCCCAGGGCTCCAGGAAATGCAGATTCCCTGAAAATTTGAAGTTCTGTTTTGCAGTTTCTTTATTTTGATCAGGATCCTTCTACAGAATCTTTGATGAAAGTGTCTGTCCCTACATTTTTAATTGTGGTACATATAGTTTGTTGTCTTTAAAGCTACATGGTATGGACATATTAAAGTTTTTGTTAGTTTGAGTGGGCTGATCCTATATGTTAGTCATCCCCTTATTTAAATTCTAAGATTGATTTGGTAATCACTGATAAGTTGTAGTGTGTATAGGTCAGTCACATGTGCCGTGACAAAACAGAGCAATCAGAAATCATACACATATGTGTACACGCAGACACACATGCAAATTATGTATGTGATTGGCTCTTTTTCCTCCCACATTGTAGTGGGAGTGGCATGTGCTACTTCAGTAATCTGAGAAGCAGTTACCTGTCCTCTAACTGAAGGATACTCTTCCTATTTGGTAGTAATTTGGGAGGGCAACAATCCTCCTTAAAGTTCTCAGTGCTCAGGATATGCCATTTTAAAGATTCTCTATGTGGTAGACTATGGAAATAAACAGAGTAGCAAATAGATACTTATTGTAAAACTTCCTGCCCCATTAACAAATAAAGTAAAATTTCTTTCGTTCTCATTATTACAGAAATAGCCTATGCAATTCTACTTGCCAGTTAACAAAAATCATCTCTGTCATCCATTGTTGTTGTTAAGTACTATTGAGTCAGAACGGACCTCTAACTGAGCCTCTGGTGGGTTTTCAGAGGCAGTAAATCACACAGGAGGAGGTTTTTCCATTCTCCTCCTGAGGAGCAGCTGGTGGATTTGAACCACGGGCTGTGGGTTGGCAATGCAGCTCCTTACTGCTGGGCCACCGGAGCTCCGTTGGGGTGATAGGTTAGTAACAAGTATTATTTATGTAGTAGACTGCATTCGGGGAGATAGTTACTAATAGGGGGAAAAAAGTAAAACAACAAAAAAACAAACAACCCAGCAACAAATGCCAATCAAACTCATTGCCACTGTGTAATTTCTGACTTATCACCAGCCTGTGACCAGAACAGTACTGGGTTTCCAAGGTTGGACATCTTTGTGGAAACTGTCACAACTTTTCCCTGCAGAACGACTGGTGTATTTGAACTTTTCAGTAGTAGATTATTAATATTTTGTTTGCAAAATACTCAGAAACGTTATTTTAGTGGTATGAACTCCTCGTAAGATTTGTCCTTAGATAAATAGTCAAACCTACTGGGAGTCTTTTGAGTATAACACTGCTGCTTAAATGAGCATGCAGAAGAAAATGTGTTTCTTGGTATATATACAAAGGTCAGACTAACCCATGGCATTTTCATGACAGGTTTTTGAGATGGACATTTCAAAACAGTTGCATGCCTATGAAGTAGAATACCACGTACTGCAGGATGAGCTTCAGGAATCTTCATATCCCTGTGAGGATAATGAATCTTTAGAGAAGTTGGAGAGGGCCAATAGCCAACTGAAACGACAAAACATGGACCTCCTGGAAAAATTACAGGTAAGAATATAAGAGTTAGCACACCCTTGTTTATCGCAGCTTTGTTCACAATAGCAAGAAGTTGGAAACA